CTCCCTACCAGAGCTGCTCCCCCCCCCGCCAGATGCGGCCTTCCTACCGCAGCTGCTCCCCTCCACGGCGCTCCGAGCCCTACTACAGCAGCTGCATGCCATCAAGATGTGCTTCGGGTTCCTACAACTACTGCACCCCACCCCGCCGCTCTGAGCCCATCTATCACAGCGGCGGTGCTCCGCGTCCCACTTCCAGCTGCGCTCAGAGACGTGGGCCCAGGTGCCGCATCGAGATTTCCTCGCCCTCCTGCCCCAGGCAGGTGCCCCCGCAGAGGTGTCCCGTTCAGATCCCTCCCATAGGACGCTGCTCTGAGAGTTGTGCTCCACGACCCTCCTGGGGCACCTCCTGCCCGGAGCTGAGACCACGTCCTGAGCCGCGCCCACTCCCCAGCTTCTGCCCACCCCGGAGTTTTGACCAATGTCCAGAGCCGTCACTGCCGCGGTGCCCACGTCCGGCCCCGCGTCCATCACGCCCAGCGCCGTGCCCAAGTCCGGAGTACCGCCGGTGTTCTCCACCCCGGTACTTTCCCGAGCCGTGCCCGTGTCCGGAACCAAGTCCAGCCCCGCGTCCAGCCCCACGATGTGGCCCAACGCGGTGTGAGTTTCCAGAGCCTTGTCGGGAGCCAATTCCCCTCCCGCCACGCTGCTCAAGCCCAGAGCCCTGTGTGCAGCCTCAGCGCTGCCCCAGCCCCTGCTCGGGCCCAAATCCAAGGCCGGGCTCCGGAGACCTCGGCTGTCATGAGTCCCGCCCGGGCCGCCTAGACATGGAGGCCCCCAGCTGCGGCCCAGCTGCTTACACACAGTGCGGAGAGGGCGATGCTAGCCATGGACCTTGTGATGTGTTCCCAGAGCCCCGGGGCCTGGGCGGTAGTGGAGACCAAGGAGGTGCCTCTGTTGGAGCGAAAGGCGGGTACTACGCTGGAGTAAAGAGCGCCTACTTTTAAAGGAAGGCCGGCTGAAACATCCCTGCTCCTCCTGCCCTGACAACGCGGCTCCTCCTTTCCCAGCAGTGACCATTTCCGTGCTCTTGGTTGCAATGCCCCAAAGATAGGCCGAGGCTCCCTGCTGCAGAGGCGATGTCCTTTGCCTGTCATCACAGGACCCACACCTGCGTCTCAGACACCTCTGCAGCCTCACCTCAGACTCCTCTCCCATAAGCATCCTCTGTTCCAGCCAGACCAGTCTCACAACCAGGGCACATCTTGGGTGTTCCCCAGGACATACCTTAGCCATCCCTGCCTCCAAGCCTCTGTCCATTTCTCCCCGGATTCCTGGACCACTTCTCCGCTACTCCCAGTATCTGAAACCCGACCCATCTTTCAAGACCTCTTCCTTGGAGCCTTTTCTGCTTGTTCCTACTCTCAGAAGCCTGCCCTGACTTCCTAGAACGCACTGCATCATCCACACCATCCATTTGGCAAGTGCCTTGCAACATCTCTTGAACTATTTTATTTTTCAGGTGTGTCTGTTGTCTGTCTTACCTGTCCAGCTAGATTGTAAACTCCCATTTGAATGGAGTCAGAGTATCCCTAAAGTCCCTTGCTTCTCCTAGGGCAGGCAGCTACTCATCAAGGTTTGTTGGTTGGCAGCTTGAGCCATGATCTGTCCTGATGGGCAACCCCAAGCCTGGGACAAGACTCCATGTAACAATAAAGGTGATGCTACACTTGGATCCTGACTCCCTGGGATAAACTTTTCTTTTTCTTTTCTTTGTTGTTTTTCTTCTTGGGTTTATTGTTACCCACGGCTGAACTTTCCTTAGACTAGACCAGGTGGTCTGCTTTGTGGGTTTTCTGTGTCCCCTCAGTGTCCCTGGCCCCTGCTGAGAAAGGATGGATGAAGAAACACAAGGAATGAGGAATCTAGGAAGATAGCTCTTGCTTCTTAGTCTAGGGGTAAAGATCTTCAAGCCCGAATTGACCAGGTCACCCAGCTGTGCTCTGGGGCTGTAGTCACTGCCATGTGACCTCTATGGAGTCAGAGGCAGAGAGAAGGGATCCCCGCTAGGCTCTCTGGGATACGCTGCACAGGATACACTCTTCTGTATTTCAGAATAAACTATCTGCTGTGTTTTGGGGACATACTAGAAAAGGGAGCATCTACGGCTGACTCTTCATTCCTCTATTGCTCCCAAATCCCATTAGGCATGTTGGTCTTGGAAGCATGAAGGTGGGGCTTGGAGGGGCAGGAGAGCCAGGGGTGTCGCTTCCTCACACTCCCTTCAGATGACAAGTGCTGGCTGGGGAACTAATGTTCCCGAGGAGATCCATTCCCCAGAGGGAGAGAGTACCTGAGGCCGCCAAGATGAAAGGGAGGCAGCTCTGGTCTGGGTCCTGAAGGTCTGATCCAGTGACTTCCTCCTCAAGGGCCACAACCCCAGAGGCTCCCACAGCTCCAGCACCATAGTGGGCACCACAAATACAGGGCCTGGCTCTGAGTATGTCTTACCCTTGCCCCAGGAATCTAGTAATGCAATATCAATGGTGGAGGACACAGGAGGCTACCTGTGTTATATAAAGAAAAATTGAGGCTCTTCCTGTGAAATCCATTCATTGATTGATTGATTGATGAATAGTCACTGCTTACTTGCTAGGAAGGCACTGGTAAAAGGGACAGACAGAACCCTTGTTTGCTCTGATAGCTTGCAGCCTTGCACACTGGTGCTCAGAGTGTGGTATCTGGACCAGCAGCATCACCGAGGGCAGCGGTTCTCAACCTGTGGGCCGCGACCCCTTTGGCGGTCGAACGACCCTCTCACAGGGGTTGCCTAAGACCGTCCTGCATATCAGACATTTACATTGCGATTCATAACAGTAGCAACATTACAGTTAGGAAGTAGCAACGAAAATAGTTTTATGGTTGCGTCACAACATGAGGAGCTGTATTGAAAGGCCAGAAGGTTGAGAACCACTGACCTAGGGCCTTGTGAGAAATACAAATGTGTCTCCTCAGACCAACTGATACAAAGCATAGGTGAGTCAGGCTGGGCCTGAGCCAGGGAGCCCCGGGTGGCCTGGAGCTCCTCGCAGGCCAGGGCTGTGCAGCAGCAGCCTCAGTGCCATCTCTGAGGCCAGAGAAGCTCAGGGCCCACACTCGTCTCTCCTGGGATTAGTCCGAGTTGGCCTCGAAGTTCCACTTCCTCTGACAGTGTCCAGCTCTGAGCCTCCAGACAGGCCACAGAGAAAAGTTACAGCCTATTTGTAGCAGTTCAGAGGAAACCGTGCCCAGGAGTGTGTGTGTCTGCATGTCCTTTTGTGGGCTTTGCATGTTTCTTTGTGTGAGCCCATGTGTCTACTGTTTCTGTCTGCATGCTTTAAAAGCTGGGGGATGGTTTAAAATGCATTTGGCAGTGGGAGCTGTGACCTCAGGAGCATCATTTACGATACCCTACCATCCTTCAACACTGACTTTGGGTGACCCTTCCGTTATCCTTTCCATCCCCACACACTACCCTTTTACTGACCACCTGCCTCCAGCTCACTCTCTGCCTTTTCCTTCTTTGTCAAGATTTGAGCAAAAGTTAGAGTCCCTAGGACAGGGGTGGGCAACCCCTGGCACGCGTGCCAAACATGGCACGCCAGTAACTTTTGCTGGCATGTGAAACCCTCTCTTATAATCTTCCATTTACAATTTTTTTCTTAATATTGACTTTTTTATTTTTCAGATAAATTCAGTGTAGGTGCATCTTAGATAAATAAATAATTTTACATACTAAGTTATCTTAAAGACCATAGACATGGGTTGGCGAGAGAGGGGAAGAGCAATTTCTATGCCTCTGCCTGCCTTCCTAGATCCAACCATGTTTTGGTTTCATCCACATAAGCTTGTGAATCTTTGTTCTCAGTGATGAATTTTGTTAAGTCTCGTAATAAGAGTAGCCTGATGGATGAAAGTAGTAGCTAGTGCATATCTCTGAAGGTCACGAAATATAAACCTGATGTAAAATCTCTGTCATCAGTGATGCATCAGCAAAAGTCCCACTGATAATATCAAACGGAGTCATAAAGTTTTCTGTCAGACTATCAGTGTACATGTATACATTAAAAAAATAAATGTATTTTTCATCATCATATACTGTGTTTTTGTCGCTCGAATGAATTTTATTATTTCTTCAAGGTTCTTCACATACGTACACCTTAAGAGATACCAAGTAGGTGTAACATGTTCTCAAAAAATTAGGGTTGTCACGCAGAAGAATTTTGAGTTAGATTTTGCTGGTTTTGGCACGCACTCACAGAAAGGTTGCCCTAGGACCAAGGCTGGGGATTCAAAATTACATTAAAAAAATACCATTTATAAAGTTCTTTAAAGGTGCGCAAAGATCTGTGAGAGACTCCCCTGTGAATCTCACAGTAATCTGAGGCTATACGCAGGTTGTATAGTATTGTTTTCATTTCAGTTTGCCGGACTATTGCCCAGAAGTGTCAATGCATTGGCAAAGTCACAGAGTGTGAGACAGAGGAGGCCAGACTCTCACACCTGACATTCCACTATGGAGGGCCTGGCTTCCAGAGATGAGGGCCAAGTCCGAGTGATTGTAAGAGAGATTAAGATCATGCTTCCTATCTTGGAATTGTGTTTCTCTATTTTTTCTCTCTTTCTAAACCTCCCTCTCTGGGATTAGCATCCTCACTGTAGAATGAGGGAATTGCTCTAGTCTAGATGTTCTCAGAGGTTCCTTCCTCTTTGTCGTGGCACTAGGCTAGGGTGAAATGACCTGGGAACCCACTTAAAGACATCTAATCCCAAAAGTGATCCTAGACCTATTTAATTTGAATTTCCAGAGAGAGAATCGGGAATCCATTTGAAAATTATTATGATCAGCTGGAGGTAGAAACCATTGCTGTAGTGAATACCTAGGTGTGTGAACTTGCTCAAGATCTAAAGGAGAGTTGACACTTGTATGCAGTGGCTACAGCATGCGTAGGATGTTGTGGCAAAATCGGGCTGGTCTGTAACTGTTTTGTGGGAGGTTTTATGTAATTATCTGTGTGAAATCAAATTTTTCTACTCTTTAGTCTAGAGGTACCTCAAGATCAAGGAGGCTCTTCTTTTTCTCAATTAAATTCTCAGCCCTAAGGCCACCAAAGTACCCAGAATGGGGTGCTTGTGCGTGGCTGATGTAGAGGGGTTCTTTGGTACATGTTACAGATATTTTTTACTGGGAGATGGTAGGCCTCATTTTGGTATATCTCTCCTTTATTTAGGCACTACCCAAACATTAAGGGGGAGAAATTCCACATCCCATAGTTTGTCCTACAAACTAGAGTCCTGATGAACAAGCAAATAGAACTGTCATGCATAAGAAAATAGCTCAGCTGTTTACAATGGAATAGGTAGGTAACCAGAAGACAGGCCGCGAATATGTGGATATTTCACTGATGCATGGAAGAATAGGCAGGCGGTGACCAAGACTTCTAACAAGACTAGCATACTCCTGATTTCTGGCATGGTTGGACATCCCAGAGGATCCACATGCCTGTGGCCTGAAACTAGTTGGGAAAACAGGGTGATGCATGATGATCCATGTGCTTCCCCATCACCATCAAACCCAAGTGCCATCAAACTCATTCCTCCAAAAGAAGAAACTTCCTGACCTAGAAGACATAACTAGAAGTATCTAGAAGCCTAGGGATAACTAAAACTGTGCCAAAGCCACCCAGCATGTTCCTTACCACATCTTATCATAGGAGCCCCGAGCTGGGTTAACAGCTTCCCTCTGTTCTCTAGTATTATATTGGTCAGGAAGAAAACCACTTACCAACTTGTATTAACACATCCATTTATTTGACAATCTACCGGGAACTGGGCATACTTGGTCATGGAAATACAATTGTGAGCAAGGCAGGCACTGTGTTGCTAACATGAAGTCTGAGAGACAGAGCTTGTGAGAGTTTCCACCTGGGAGGCATACGGTATCATGGCAGCCCATAGAAAAGACACTGGAGTGGGTCAGGTGCCTAGAGAAGGCAACTACAAACACAGATATGAAAGATAAATGGGAGGAAAGAGGAGAGTGTTCTGGTAGAGTTAACAGCAGGTATAATGTCAACATAATGGACACAATGACAGACAGCCCCAGGTGAAGTATTTCCTCCTGACTTGACCATTCTTCCTGGTCCCTGTGTTGTTTAAGGGTCAGTACCTGCCTGGGTCACATTGAGGATGAAATTAGATAAGTTATTTAAAAACACTTTGTGTATCATAAAACACTAAAAGTATATTTGCTTTTGATAGTGAGGTCCTCATCTCCGAGGGAAGAAGTAGATGAAAAAGATGATGATGGGTCCTGGGGAACTGCCCATTTGATGAGCTGGTTGGGTCACAGAGGTAGGTCAAGTTGAGGCCCAAGTAGAGGCCGGATGAGTGGAAGGGAGGCACAAATAGGAATAAGTGTAGTCATCTGGGGCAAGTCAAGAGAGGCGTGAAGGAGGAGGAATTGAAGGAGCGAAGGGACAAGGAATGACAGACAGGAAACAGATGGGGTGATTGGTGAGGAAAATGGTTCAGGCAAAATGCTGAATCTAGAGGATTATAAGATTTGGGGACCAGACGCTCAGATACCAGGATTAATGTTGGGTTCAAGGATAGTGAGGTGAGCAGCGATCACAAATGGTCATTGCTATGGATGCCACCTATCCAGTCTGCCACTGGGCATGGCTCCTTGGGTCA